GAGGACAGGCGCCGCTCAGGCACATGGCTGAGAACGGGCGGCGAGCCAAGGCAGGAAGCCCTAGGCGGCGCGCACATGGGTGCCCAGCTGTCACCCAGTGACAGCCAAGTGCAGCGCGCCGTGTCCCAGGGACTGGGAGCCCCTTCCTCAGGGGTCCTCACCTGCCCCAGGCGGCTCCTTCCACTGCGTCTCACACACGGAGAGCAGGCTCAGCGGGGGCTCAGCGGGGTGCTGCCCAAGGCCACAGTCTGCAGGCCGGGGACCCGGCACCCACCACTTTGACTCCAGAACTAGGGTGTTTTCACACACACACACACACACACACACACCACACACACCACATACTTATACACATACACACACCACACATACCACCAAACACCCACTCATGACACACACCACATGCACACACATACACATCACATACTTATACACATCCGCACGTGCCACACGCCACACATATATACATATCACATGCATGCATACATATACACAAAAACACACCACACATATACACATACACACCACACGTGCATACCCACCACACACACACACCACACACACATCCCACCATACACCCACACGACACACACACACCACATGCGCACACACACACACCACACACACACACACACACGGCTCATAAAAGTGGGCAGCAAAACCAAGGCCAGGAGTGCTGCAGCGCTAACCCTAAATCCCACCAGATCGGGGATGGAGCGCGGGTGTGGCGAGAAGCCCTCCTAAGGCTCAGACCAAAAGCGGGCGGTGGGGCAGGAGCACCGAGGAAAGACCCCCCGGAAACTCGGCCCTGAGCTCGGCACTCGGGGAAGCCGCAGGAGTGAGAGCTGGTGGTCAAGCCAGTGATCGGAGCAACAACAGAACCCACACGCAGCCCAGCTCCCACGTAAAGGCCTGGCCAGAGCAGACAGCCCGCATCCAAGCACAGACGCCACTGACCTCCGGCTCCACCGCCAGCACACCATGTCCCGCAAACAGGCAAAAAGCACTACTCGTTCTAAAATAGCCGCTCTCAGCAGACAAAACAGTCAACAGAATCAGACTCCATTTAAATCAGTCTGCGTAACATGTTAAAGGATTTCATGGAAAAGGTGAACAGCACGCGTGAACACATGGGGTATTTCAGCAGAGAGGTGGAAACTAGACCTCGAACTGCTAGAGGAAAAATAAAAACACGAACAGAAATGCAGAATGCTCCTGGGGGCTCCCAGGCCTGACCGCATGGGCCTGACACAGTGGAAGAAAGAATCAGTTCACCGAAGACTGGGCAGCAGAAACTGTGATGATCACTGGAATCTCAAAAGAAGAGAAAGAACAGGACGGAAGGAATATTTGGAGAGAGAATGGCTGAGCGCTTTTCCAAATAGTGAAAGGTATCAAACCATAAATCTAAGATGTTCAGCACCCCCCCCCGCCCCCTCCCCCCCCCCCCCCCCCCCGCCAAATCAAGACAAGTATCCCCACCCTGAAAAAAACTACACCTGGCCTTAGATTAAGTGCTGAAAACCAAAGATAAAGAGAAAATCTTGAATGCAGCCGGAGGGGAAAAAGACCCATTCCACAGAGGACCAAAGAATTACAGCAACTTTCATCAGACGCCATGCGCTTGCCGTGCAGCTGACGGGAGGAGGGGCCTCGCTGCACTGAGCCTCAGGCCCATCGAGGCAGGGGGGTGGTCCTCCTGCCCGTGCAGAAACCACAGCTCACAGGGCCTGTCACCTGCCCAGGCCACCCAGGCGGCAAGCAGCAGAGCTACATTCAAACCCAGGACTTCCAGCTCCCAAGCCAGGCTCTTAATCTCTACGCACTGGTGCCTCCTACAGACCCAACCGTGGTGGGGAGGAGAGAGGGAAGCAAGGGAAAGGCAGTGTGAACTGGGCCCCTGCAGAGGCCGCAGAGCAGTGGCAAAGCCTCAAGATCTGCCCCCCTGCCCCCACCCCCACCCCCGACTTAGACTCCCAGTAATAAAGGTGCGGAGAGAAGCTTGCTCCTCCCTCCGGCCCGGGGCCTGAGTCTGGCTGCCCTTGTGCCTTTCCAAAGGTGACACTGCACCTGAGAGATGGGGGGGGGGGGGGGGGGGCGGGTCTGAGCCTCTACAGAGGCAGGAGAGTTAGTTCCTCATGAACAAACATGGCAGAGCACCTGGCACACCCAACTCCTAAGCGGCCGATGACCATCCAAAGGCGCCGCAGGTCCCACTCCCAGCTGCGGCAGGTCTGTGTTCAGAGTGACAGCCCGGCCGGCGAGGCTCAGTGCTTGAGCATCGACCTATGAACCAGGAGGTCGATGTTGATTCCCAGTCAGGGTGCACGCCCAGGTTGCAGGCTCCATCCCCAGGGGAGGTGGGGGGTGTGCAACCAATTGATGATTCTCTCTCATCATTGATGTTTCTCTCTCTCTCTCCCTCTCCCTTCCTCTCTGAAATCGGTAAGAATATATATTTTTAAAGGATCAGGGAGCTGGGCAGCCTCAGCCACTGTGGTGCTCAGGCTGTGGGTTTCTCAGCAGGGGAAACACAGCTCAGACTCACCCAAGGGCAACGCCGGGCGAGAACCCGGGTCCTGACCCCAGGCCAGCTGCCCGTGGAGACCCCTGCAGGCCCCTCCTCCTCCGAGAGGAAATCTTCAGGGCAGATTTTGGGGGTACCAACTCTTCAGTCCCCTTGATCGTTTCACGTAATGAGCAGGGGTTGGGGGGGGGGGGGAGCTTCAGAAGCACCGCGTCAGAGCCAGTGCCGCCATCAGTCCCAAGAAAAGCTCCCACTTACCTGCCCCCATCCATGGGGTGGGTGAGAAGGATGGACTGCGATGAGGTTAAAGAAAGCAAAAAGACCAGAAGCCCTGGCTGGTGGAGCTCAGTTGGTTGAGCATCGTCCCATGTACCAAAAGGTCGCCAGTTCCATTCCCGGGTTGCTGGCTCCATCCCTAGTAGGGGGTGTGCAGGAGGCAGCCGATCGATGCTTCTCTCTCTCTCCCCGCTCTCTGGCCTCCACAGTACCCATGACTGATCCTTCACTCCCGGGGTCTCAGTCCCCTCCACTCAGCCTTGGTCCAGCCACATGAGGGTGGGCAAGTCGCTCCACCTCCTGGGCCTCCATTTGCCCTGTGGGAAGCAGGAGCCAGCTCCGTCCCGCCTCCCAGAGCTTCGGGGGAAGGTGCCGGGACACAGGCACGCGGGGCTGCATGAGCCACAGAGCTCCGAGCCTGGCAGCAGATTGATGCCGCATCTGCTGATTGATGCCGCATCCACCGGGCTCACACCAGCTCTCAGGGGCAGTCCCAGGGTGCCCGACCTCAGGCATGGAGGCGAGACACCAACCGGGGCAGACGGAGACCAGCAGAGCCTGGAAAGGCCAGAGGCTGAGGGCAGCTCTGCCGTTTAAAGGGAAGTTCTCTGGGTTCTGTGGGCAGGGCCTCACACAAGGGTCCGAGGCCACGGCTGGCTCTCCCGTCACCAAGGGAGAGCGTGTGTGTGTGCTCTTGTCTGCTTTGAAAGATTCAAGTTACAAACAAGAGGTGAGTTTTATATCTGGAAAACTTCCTTCAACTAACACCTCACTCCCCATCCAGGCTCCCCCAGACCCCCCCAGGGCAGGCAGGGCCCCTCAAGGCCTCCCCCACAAGCCCCCCAGCAGCGCTTTCCCGGTGACCTCAGTGACCCGCGGGGCTGCACGCCTCCACCCCTTCCAGCCACGTCTCCCCTCCATCTCCTCGCGCAAATGGACTGGACAACTCCGAACCCTAGAGAACTGCCCACACCAAGTTCTTCCCAATTCCTCTGCAGGCAAACCCGGCCCTAAACTGACACGGGGCGATGTTTAGTCTTTACGGGCCCACTGAATGCGGGGTTCTCCCCACACGTCCATCCCCCATGGCTCTAAAACCTGGACAGTTCCAACCCCCACCCCCACGGGGCTGGGGGCGGGCTGTGGCCACACCAATGGGGGTGCACACCTCCTTCCTCCCCTCTCCCCAACCGCCCCACCAACACGGCTCCCAACCCTCCACTGGCAGCCCCTCCCCAACCTTCCTCAGAGGAACTGGCCCAGCCCTTGGGCAGCGGGGACCCTGCAGGTCTATGACAGCCACGCCACAGCTCTCCCCGCCTCCTGGCCACCTCCCTCCCTCCCTCCCTCCCTGTGGGTCCACATGACCTCCAGCCCTCCTTCCCAGGGCTGCAGACCCAGCACCCAGTGTGGGTGCAGCCGCCTCCTCCCTCCCACACAGGCGGAGGGAGACCTGAAGGGATGTTTAAAGAGCCAGACAGCCGCCTGCCTCCCTCCCTACGAACCACACAGGCAGACAACCCCTTGCAGCAGGCCCTGCACGCAGACCTGCTTTAAATTCCCGCCTGGCATTGGGCAAGCACTGCTCCCCCTCGGCGCCTAGACTGTGGTGGATTGTCGGGAAGATGACATCAGTCAGTGCTGGGAGATGGGGCTCCGGGGTCCTGCCTGTTACCCGGGTGACGGAGGAGGCCCTGAAGCTAGGGAACACCGGGCACACGCTCCGGCCAAGGCGGGCCCTCCCCCACCGGGAGCCCACGCAGGGAAGGAGCACCGTCCACAGTCCCCACGCCCGCCCGATCCCCTTCCCAGACGATCCCCAGGACTCTGCGCGCATCCGAGGCTGCACTGGGTCCAGGAACAGAGAGGTTAAGTGACTGTCCAAGGTCACACAGCCCGCAGGGGGAGGGGAGGGGAAGCGGAGGAGGCGGCCCGGGCCTGGCCTCCGGGCAGCTCCAGCCGACCTGGCTCCATCCTCCCCCACCCCCACGGGACGCTGTCCAGCCTCCAGCCGCGGACACCGGGCTTCACCTCCGGTCTCCGGCCTCAGTCCCCAGATGCGGGCCGCCCACCCCCATCCCGCCCTACAGGGGCCCGGGCACTGGCGGGCGGCGGCGCCAGGCCCTCCCAGCCAGACTGACGCGGGCCGCGCGTCCCCGGGCGCCGCAGAGCCGGGGCGGGGCGGCGCGGGGCTCACCGGACTTGGGGTAGGTGACGATCCACACGTCGCTCGGCCGCACCGGGAAGTTGGCGATCTCCTCCATCTTCCCGCGGCAGAAGGGCGGCAGCCGCACGCCGTGGAACTCGAAGTACTTGCTCTCGAACTCGCCCGGGGTGCTGGGGGTCTCGGCCTCGCTCTCCGCCATGCCGCCGCCGCCCCGCTGCCGCCGCCGCCCCGCGCCCACGCCCGCCGCCCCGCCGCGCGGCGCTCCCTCCGCAGGCGTGACGTCACGGCGCCGCCTCGCCCACCGGCGCTGAGACGGCGCTCCGCCGGTATGACGTCATGGCCCCGCCCGCCGCGCCCGGCCCCCCGCAGCCGTGACGTCTGGAGGCCTCCGGGCCCGCCCCGCCCACACCTGGCGGCTGGTCCCCACCCCCGGGAGGACCGCGGCCGCCCCCCGCCCGCCGCCTCCCAGCCCGCATCCGCATCCGCATCCCTCCATCACGCCCTCATCCACCCACCCAGGGCCCATCTTCCGCAAGCGCTCAACACAGGCTGGGAGCGCTGCAGCCAGAGGTGACCTCAGGGATTCCTTCACTCCTCCAGGCGCGTTCAGGAAGCTTCTGACCGGTGCCAGGCGCTCCGGTTCCGGGCCCTCTGGGGCTTACATTTGTGCATAACCAGGAAAATCGCAGGGAGTGGCGTGCGCTATGGAAGGCAGGCCCCATCATCTCCTAGGGCAGAAGGTGGGGGGTGGGTAACTGCAGCTTTCCAGGACCCGTGGCAGACCTACAAGGACGCTCTCCAGATAGCGCCCCCAAATCCGCACTGAATAAGGCACTTCTTAAGCAGACAGCAACTTGAGAGCAACAGAATTCTAAAGAGGTTTTAGTACAAACCCTCATCCAATCATTGAATATATATATATATATCTCACGTGAATGAATGCTGATGGGGGAGAGGGGGTTCTCACTGCGGAAGAAGGCAGGGAAGAGCCGTGTGGTTTTGAACTGGAACCTGAGGTACTGATATGAGTTTACTATTTTTAAAACTATTTCTTATCTTTGCTGACAAGGCCCTGAGGCACGGGGTTCCAGTAATACCAGGCACACCCAGTGCCCAGATCCTCTTGGTTTCTAAATACTTGCCCACAAGAAGGAAACACGGTTTCCTGAAGAAAAGGTCCATTCCAGGGCTGGGCAAAGAAAGTACAAGATGAGCCTAAAACATCTTGTTGGGCCCAAAAAAAGTGTTTTTAAAAGTGATAGGGATCTGTGGGAAGGACACGAGCTAGCTTCAAAGGCCGAATTAGGAACAACTTGCACATGTTAGACGAAAACTGGAAACAACTCAAACGTCCATCGGCAATAGAATGACTAAACTGTGACATATTCGTACAATGGGATACTTACTACACAGTGTTTTAAAAAATGTGAAGAATTACTGGTGTATGCAACAGCACAGGTGAGCTTCGCAATCAAAATATGATGAAGAAGCCCGATCAGCGTGGCTCAGTGGCTGGGCGTCCACCTGTGGACCCGGAGGTCACGGTTCTATTCCCGGTCAGGGCACATGTCCGGGTGCGGGCTCAATCCCCCAGGCTGGGGCATGCAGGAGGCAGCTGATCAATGATTCTCTCTCGTCACTGATATTCCTATCTCTCTCTCCCTCTCCCTTCCTCTCTGAAATCTATAAAAATATATATTTTTAAAAATGATGAATAAAAGGGCTATATGTCAAATGATCCCATTCACGTACAGTTCAGGGACAAACAAAACTCATCTATGGTGACAGAGGCCAGAAAAGTGCTTAGCGTGGGCCCGAGGGAGAGGGTTGAATGGGAGAAGACACAGGAGTGCCCTCTAGCCTGTTGGGAATCTTGTGGATCTTGCTCCCAGTGATGGTTACGTGATGATTTAGACATAGTGCACATAGAGATAGGTGTGCAGATAGATACGTATACTGCAGCTATGGAAAGAGAGAGAAATGGGTACATAGATGGACAGATAGGGCTGCAGGGCCTGCCTGAGGGTCATGCCACTAGAGCAGCCCCAGACGGCCCTGTGCCCAGAGGGCCCTGCACTTGGGGTTTAATGCTCCGTGGTCACCGTCTCGAAATCCGTGATCCTTTTATTTGAGCCTGTGCTCGATCGTGCAGTCTGGCGGGGTAATGGAACACGTGCTGAGAACCTGGAGCCTCGGAGCACGGGCAGTTCCACCCACTGCCGCCTCCTCCGGACAAGTTCCTGATTGCCTGCTCCCCTGTCCTCCTGTGCCCCAGCCCTGCCCAGCCTCTCTCCTCGCCCCTCCCCACAGACCATGGGGCCTGAAAAGGACGCTCACCCACCATGGCATCTCAGAGTGGGGCATGATTATGGCCGTCGTTGTCATCGTGGTCCTAGATTGGCAGCAGCCGGGGCATTTGGTGGGTGAATCAGCCAAAGTGAGCCTCTCTCCCACCCCCAATTCAGGTGCCCATTTGTCTAGTGTGGAGGTGGCAATACTCGGGGCAGCAGGCCTGTGGGAAGGGGAGATCCCTGACTTGAGCTCCCCGCTCCCAGCCAGGGCGTGATGTGGGGGTCCCACAGCCGACAGGAGGAAACGGGCAGCCGATGGGCAGCTCTCGGGGCTCTCGGGGCCATGGGGCTTGTCCACCAGGCTCTGTGAGGGTCTGCAGGTGCCCTATGAGGAATGCAGTGTTGAGAAGGCGACATAAACTACCTGTAGCAAACAATAACCACACTGACAGGTTGAGAACTTGTGGAGTGATTTTAGTACCTTGAGTAGCATTTTCCCTGCTTTTTGAAAAAGAAGGCCTACATTTTAATCTTGCATCGGGACCCAGTGCTAGGAGTTCCATTCTCCTCAAATTCCTCTGTAGAGTCTATGCCAGTGGTCGGCAAACTGCGGCTCGGCAAACCGTGGCTCTCGAGCCACATGCAGCTCTTTGGCCCCTTGAATGTGGCTCTTCCACAAAATACCAGCTTCTGCACATGGGCCACGAAGTTTCAATCGCACTGTACATGCGCGCCCACACGTGGTATTTTGTGGAAGAGCCACACTCAAGGGGCCAAAGAGCCGCATGTGGCTCGCGAGCCGCGGTTTGCTGACCACGGGTCTATGCGATCCCAAGCAACATCCCAATGGGCTCTGTTGTAGAGATTAACAAGCTGTGCCTGGCCGGCGTCCACCTATGAACCAGAAGGTACTGCTCAATTCCTGGTCAGGGCACATGCCCCGTTGCAGGCTGGATCCCCAGTGTGGGGTGTGCAGGAGGCATCCGACCAATGATTCTCTCTCATCCTTGATGTTTCTCTCCTCTCGCTCTCTCTCTCTCCCCCTCTTCATCTCAAGTCAATAAAAATATATTTTTAACATTAACAAGCTGCTTCTAAAAGCTAGAGAGGAAGGCTATAAATCAAGACACTGTGGGATGCGCATAAGCATAGGCATATATTTAAATGGAACAGAATAGAGACCCCAGAAATAGGCACACACATGTATGATGGCTTGTTTTTTGACTGATATCCTTACGGGCAGGGAACAGAAGCTTCTTAGGAAGCAAAGCTGCCCAGCAAGGCCTGGTCTGCCCGGTGGTGTAGACGCTCCATCTCCGGGTGTGGAAGAGGCTGGAGAGCTCTGTCCTGAAAAGCCTTTTCCTAAGTAAGGTGGGCCCGGAAGTGCTCTGCCCTCTGACATCCCTGAGGCAGCTGAGCGGCTGGAAGGCCGGGCGGGCGGAAAGGCGGCCGCGGGTCGCTGTCCGCGGTGCTGAACCGGACAGCTCCCCAGGTCCTCCCGCCCTTCCCCATCGGTGACTCTGGGAAGCCATGGCTGCTGGTCGCCCTGCTTTTGCTTTGTTTTATGTGCTTTCTTGATGCAGTTTCCTATTTGTATGTACTCTCAAAGTATTAAGGTAAGTACTCATTTATTACAGACATGTCAAACACGTAAAATTAGAGAGAATAGTGTAATGAACTTCTATGGGCTCGTCACCTAGTGCCAAGTGTTAGCAATTCACGTTTCATCAAACTCTCACCCACCTCCCCCCGCAGGACTATGTGAAGCAAATCTCATGCATTGTGCCATTTCATTCATTACTATTTCAGGATGATCTTTAAAGGATAAGAACCACGTGAAAACATATTCCCAGTACGTTAACACAACTCAAAAGTAATGGCTATCCCTTAACATCACCACACCTGCGGTCAGTGTACACAACCAGATGTGCGGGTGAGGTGCAAAGCTCAGCGGGGTTGAGGTATCTGCCTGGGGACGCCTAAGGTCACCAGGACTTAGTGCTGGGACACAGGCTGCCCCACTCGCATCATGTGACCACGGCCACAGATTGGCACACACCAGCCTGCTTGCCAGAGATAACGTCAAGCAAGTCTGAGGCGCAGGGCGCTGACCCAGGCAGGTGGTCACACCCACAGGGTGGTCCCTGAGGACACCAGGGCTCATGAACGACAGGCTCCAACCACACCCCTGCTCCGACAGGTCCAGGTCAAGATCAGTGACGTCGGACTCTCTGCGGCAGAGGAGTCCTGAGCGGAATCCCCATGTGTCCCCAGTATCTAAAGTGCAGCCAGAGCTGAGCCTGAGTGGCAGCTCCGTCACCGACTGGCTGTGGAACCTGGGACAAGGCGCTTCGCCCCTCTGAGCCTCGGATTTCTCGTCAGTGGAACTCACCGTGGGTCGCCCCCAGCCTGCTTTTGCCCCCACAGGCCCCTCTCCTGGAATGACTTTCTGCCAACCCACATTCTAGGCTTCCACGAAGACCCAGTCAGAAACCCATTCCGCTGTGGCTAGTCCCTCCTGGAGTCACCTCTCCTGCATCTGACCGCGTGGTACTGTTTATGTTCTGGGCCCAGAGTAGAGCTGGAGGCCCCGTGGAAACCAGCCAGTCCAACCCCTGGTTTTAAAGACAGGAAATGAGGAACTGGATGAGGAAGGAACTGGCCTGGTGTCGTAGGGGCCGCCGGTGGGCACCCCAAAGAGGCACGCACAGCTGGGATTCCGAAAAGATTTTAATCCCTTTAACCTCTCTCCTCTCCCCTTCCGTCTCTGGGCTCTCGCTGGGTGGACCCAGTAGGAAGGGAGAGATCGAGGTTGAGGAGTGAGCAGACCATGGGGGTCATGCCCGAGGGCTGGTGCCAGACAGAGAACTCAGAGAAAGGATGTGAGGGCAGGCACAGCACCCCATCCCCCCATCTGCTCCCGATCTCAGGGCTGAGCACCTTCCCCGCCTTCTAAAGCGCTCAGCTCACTCTGCCAGCAGCCCTGCCAGGCGCCCCACCAGCCCTTCTCCTCAGCAGGGCCACCACCAGGCCCCAGAGGGCAGTGCCAGAACCACGACGTGATGTGCGTAGCTTCTGCTTCCTTTCTCCCTCTGATGAGGCGGGGCGGGTGACCTGGGCGCAGGGTGACCTGGGCGCACCAAGAGGCTGGGCCTCTCCCCAGGAAGAAGTGCTGGGCCCCAGGGAGCCGGCTGCAAGGAGCAGGGGCTGCAGGGGGGCTGGCGGGTCCCTTCTGGCTCCTGAGGGCCACCCACCCACACCATCCGGGACAAGAGCCTGAGAGGAAGTAGGGAGGCCGCCCCTCGGTCCTCCAGGGCCAGGGGCCAGGCTCTGAGCTCTGGAGGTTGAGTCAGAACCAGGCCTCGCTCAAGGCCTGGACGTGGGCACCCAGGACCCAGGACAAGGACCACGACAGAATGGGAGAGGCCAGTCGCTGGGCCGGCCCAGCGTGGTGTCCCTCAGGCCCGATGGGAAGGGGGCACGTGCTTCTGGGCCGGGTGCGCAGGAGGAGCTGCCTCTGGTGGGAGCGGGCTGGAGACAGGTGGGCTGCAGAGGAAGCAGAAGCCAGTGAGAGCAGTGGTCAGAGCCGGGCTGGGGGAAGGGCAGGGGGAAGACATGAGGGACAGCCTGGCCCCAGTGAGCCCTGGTCACTCCTCCCCCAAGTCCCGCGATGAGGAAGGAAGGACCGGGCCCCTGTTCTGGCCGAGCTGGGAGTGATGGGAAGGCTCCAGGGGGCATGGCGAGTGCCCCCAGGGTCCTGCAGGCTGGCCGGGCCCAGGGCAGTGTGAGCTGCCTGCCCAGGGTCAGCAGAGCAGCTGGTGCCTCCCCCGAGGACGGCGCTGGGTTCTGCCCACCCGGCTGCGCCTCACCTGAGCTTTGGGAGGAGCTGGTCCCTCAGCCGGGAGCACACCCACAGGGCCCCTCGCCACAGCTCGCCCTGCATCCACCGTAGGTCGGCCGGCAGGTCCGGCAGCCACAGGACCAGCCTGGAGGAGGGGCAGCAACAGCTTCACTTCGGCCCAGCTGAGCCCACCCTCCACCCTCCCCACGGGGCCAGGGCCGGAGCAGAGTGGGGATCCCTCGTCCCCGAGGCACCAGGGCTACAGGAAAGGGCTGGGGGTGAGAAGCAGCCAGAGGCACGGGTTCCACCGGGGGCGGCTCAGCCTCACGGGGCACCTGCAGGGAGGGAGGGGCTGGGGATGGAAACAGAGTGGACTCTGAACTCAGTGGGTGGCCAGGCCCTGAGAGTGGACTCCACAGGCAGGAGTAGAAAGGGCAGGGGAGGAAAGGGCAAGGGTCGGGGGTCAGGCTGGCTTGGGGTGTAGCCCAGTCCCACGGCTTCTCAGCTGTGTGACCTGGGGCTGGGGGGGAGGGAGGACGCTGGGCACCTCTCTGGGCCTCAGCTTTCTCACCTGCCAAATAAGGACCGTCACCTCGCCTGTAGTTCCTAGCCTCCCCCATCTCCGTCCCCCTCTCACCTCTCCCCAGGCCAGCTCCCCACTCCGCACCCCTGCACGCACCCGCCCCAGGCCAGCTCCCCACTCCGCACCCCTGCACGCACCCTCCCCAGGCCAGCTCCCCACTCTGCACCCCTGCACGCACCCTCCGCCCAGCAGCCAGGGCCCGGCCTGAAACACAGACCACCAGAGCCTCTCTTGCTTCCACAGGACCCTGCCAGGCAGAGGGCCGGCCATGCAGCTGTGGCAGAGAAAGTGTGTGGCCGGCACCTTCAATGGACTCCCCTCCCCACTGCAGGCTCTTAGGGGGCCTCTAAACCAGGCCTCGGACTGGGCAGACAGTCCTAGTGCCATGCGACAAGCAACACATCAGCCGGACTGTCACCTCCCTCGTTCTGGCCCTTCTGCCTCGATGATTACACCCACGTGTAGGGGACAGAAATACCAGCAGGACATTCCCCGTGGTCTGGGCAGGCCTCCCCAGCAGTGCGCATAAGGGGATTTTTGTTTTTAACTGAAAAGGTGAGAATCTGCCTTTATCCTTTTTTATTTCAACCTGTGGTTTGAGTCTCACAGCAGCACGAGGCGGAGCGGTCAGCGGAAGGCTCTCTCCCAGCTCTGCGTCACCAGCCGTTTAAACGGCGGGACTGGCCGGGTCATCATCGCGATGTGGAGCAGGACATAGACCTTGGCCCCTGTCATAGGCCCTCTTCCGGGGAATAGAGAGTTTTTAAAATGCAGATCTCCCAGGACACCAGTGTCCCCTAGCTGCCTTCGACCACCGTCGGGTAAAGAGCACCCTCCTGGCACAGCTACAGAGCCCTGTGTGCCTAGCCCCTCCGCCTCCCCAGCCCCATCTTGGACAGCTCTCCACCTGTAGGTCCAGTCACACCGGCTTCCCTTTCTGCTCCTCAAACGAGCCTTACTCCCTTCTGCCCCAGGACCTTTGCATATGCTGTCCCATCCATCTGAAATGCTTTTCCCTTCCCTCTTTGCTTAGTGGATTCTTATTTGTCTTTCATCTTACAGCTCAAAAGTTATCTCCTCTAGCCCGGCCAGTGTGGCTCAGTGGCTGAGCATCGACCTATGAACCAGGAGGTCACAGTTCGATTCCTGGTCAGGGCACATGCCCAGGTTTCGGGCTCGATCCCCAGTGTGGGATGTGCAGAAGGCAGCCGATCAATGTTTCTCTATCCTCACCAATGTTTCTATTCCTCTCTCTCTCCCTTCCTCTCAACATCAATAATAAAAAAATTTTTAAGTTATCTCCTCTAGGCAGCCTTCTATGACTAGGCAGTCCCTAGTGCAGCGGTTCTCATCCTGTGGGTCGCGACCCCTTTGGTGGTCGAACGACCCTTTCACAGGGGTCGCCTAAGACCATCCTGCATATCAGATATTTACATGACGATTCATAACAGTAGCAACATGACAGTGATGAAGTAGCAACGAAAATAATTTTATGGTTGGGTCACAACATGAGGGACGGTATGTAAAGGGCCAGAAGGTTGAGAACCACTGGCCTAGTGTAAGCCATCCGGGTTCACAGCCAGTGGAGACTCCCTAGGCATCTCCAGGCAGAGCGGTGGTTACACAAGCGAACGTGTGATGACCTGTGCCCCGCCAGGCTCCACAAGGCCAGGGACCGGGGCTGGGTCAGTGCTGCCTCCCAGCCTCCAGCCAGGGCGGGCCCCTGGTAAGCCCTCGAGGACTCTTACTGGAATAAATGAACAACACACTAGTCCGCAGAGTTAGAATGAGTAGAGAGGGCTTAGCCACAGCCAGCCTGCCATGGAAGAGCCTTGTTGTATAGAAAAGGAATCTGAGGCCCAGAGAGGGTAAGAGACCTGGCCCAGGCCACACAGCAAACCTGAGCCAGCCCAGCCCCTAGAGTTATTTTCAAAAATAGCACATGGTCTCTGAGGCGCTGACAGATGGGCCCAAGGTCCTACAGACAGGAGGGACCGGAGCGCTGACCAGGAGGCCCCGGCTGGTCCACAGCAGCTACAGCCTCCGAACCAGGCCCCAAGGGCCCTCTGGGTCATTCAGCCAACACCGGCAGCGTGGAGAGACCAGCCAGGCTCTGCCCACTGGCGTGCCAGCCGCCCTTCCTGCCCTGGGCACTGGTCTCCACCACAGCCCCTGCCGGCCTCACCTTCTGCCCCGGAAGTAGACGTACTCGAAGGGCAGCGTGCAGGGCAGCAGCAGGTAGGTCAGCGCCTTCCCGGGCGTCGAGCGGCGGAAGCGGGCCCAGGGCCTGGGGTCCCTCCTACTTGTTTTCTCCAGGGCTGCAAGAGAAGGGGAGTGTGCCCACCAGCTCCTCTCCACCCTGCAGCCCACAGGGGGTGCCCACCTCACCCACAGAGCAAGAAACACAGAGCAGGCCCCCACTGGGAGCCAGCAGGGGCCAGGCCCTCAGCTGTTCATCCTCGTCCGAGAAATGGGCAGGGTGTGCCCCTTTCTCAGAAGAGGAGGCAGAGGTTCAGAGTGGAGAAGGGACTTGCCAAAGGCCGTCGCTAGGAGGTGGCAGGGCCAGGATGGACCCCTCTCCCGCCCTCTCTCTGGAAAGTCTGTGGCGGCGACCCAAGAAGGAACAGGTGCCCACATCGCACCTCCCTCCATAACAGTAGCCCAGCGGTTACTAACCACAGCAGGGCTGCAGCTGGGGCCGGGACCACCCCTTCCCCAGCCCTCTATCCCCTTCATTGACCGGGTGGGAGCGGCCTGCGTCCTGGCTGGGGCAGAACCAGAGGCCAGATTCCTGCGCCAGACCATGGCACAGCCACCTGCCCCCAACCTGACTCTGGCCGGTGCTTTTAGGCACAGACACTGGGGGCGGGGGGAGGGGCGGGGTGCACATACAGCAAGTCCGAGACAGCCCCCAGATGACCTGCCATGGCCTGGACTGGACCATCCCTTCCCTTCCCCAGCCTAGGCTGCCTCCCCGTAATGGCAGGACCCACCTTCTGGCAGGTAGGTGAGGACTAAGGGATGCCAGTGAGGTCCAGGCCGGATGACAATTCCCTTCCCGGAAGGGGGCGCCCCTCGCCAACCCCAGGTGCAGGCTGCAGGGCCCCATCGAAGAGGCGGCTCTCTGGTGCCCCCGTGTGGCCGCAGGGATGGGGCCAGGTTTGCAGAACGGCATTCTCGTACCCAGGGCTCAGCACACATTGGAGCCCATTTCTGCTTGCCCTGTGTGGTCCCTCATCCCTCCATCCCCTCGCCCACCTCACTGACCCTGCTCTGGCCTCACCACCACCATCTTTCCTCCCAGCTTCCTGCCTCTCAGCCTGTCCCCACAAGCTAACAATAAAGGAGCAACGCAGAGTGATCCATTGGTCAGTCATGGACTGGGCCTGGGCCTACGGTTCGCTGGGCAGTAATCACTAGGGGCTGCCCCTCAGTAAACCCCTCAGTGGCCCCATCTCTCTCCTCTAGGCCACATACCCAACCTTCCCAGCCTCTCTAAGCTCATCTCTGCTTCCTTGCCCCTCAACCACTGTGTTACACACACGGGGGCCTCCAGCTCTTCTCCCCTCCACACAACCCCAGGACATTTGCACATGCTGTTGTCTTCCCCTCTCTTCGCCTGGCTAGCTCCTTCCATGTTTCACTTAGATGCTAACCCACCCCCACCAGCACCATTCCAGGTGACTGTGGGACACCTGTGATTGCAGCTGTGACATTTAGGTTCCTGTGATTGCAGCTGTGACATCTAGGTCACCATGCAGAATGCCTAGTTCTGCCATGTGCTGGCCATGTGACCTTGGGTAAGTCACCTAACCGCTCGCTGTTCTGGTTTCTACATTCGTACAGTGGGGACGACTCAGTGCCGTCCTCAGAGGATTGTTGAGATGATGAAATGAGTCTAGATCCTCCGTATGTGCCCCCCCCCCGTGCCCCTCAGTACCTCCTCCCCCCCACCCCCCACCAGGCAGTGGGCAAAGGCTGGGCTTTCTCAGGCACAGACTTGGGTCTGAATCCCCCAGTGCAGGCTCTGAGGCCTTGGTGAGTCCCTCCCCGCCCTGAGCTTGTAGCCTCATCACGGAAATGGGGTGAGGAAACCCCTCGGGCCCTCAGCGTAGTGAGAAGTGAGTGACACTGCATGTAAGAGCCCCTTGGCACCCCTGGCACTTAGCAGGAACTCAAAAAGAGTCCCGCCCTCCTCCAGGCCAGAGCGCCTCCAGGGCAGGGCCCACCCAAGCCCCTGGTGCCGTGCCCCGGAGTGCCAGCGCCTGCCGGTGAGCAAGTGCGGGAGGAGGGCAGTACCGGCCTCCAGCTCCGGCGACAGCTGCTTGAAGTTGGGCACGTCCTTGACCAGCACGCTGGGCACCGCCCAGTTGAGCGACAGGCCGGCCTTCTGGCCTCCGTCTTGGTCAGTGTCCCGGGTCCCATGGGCTGGGGCCGGGGGCTCCTTTGACACCAGCGTCCACAGCACCGGCTCCTTGGTGAGTCCTGGGCGGCGAGAGGCAGGATGTGGCGGTCAGCACAGCCAGAGCCTCCGGGTGACAGCGACCCGCCCCCCGCCCCCCCCCCCCCCCCCCCCGCTCTCCACGCTGCCACCCTGTGGGCAACGCTCAAGGCCAAACTCCGCTCTGAGGCGCTGTCACCCACCGCGTCTCTCCAGGAACCTCAGGGCGTCCAGGTAGCCTTGTCTGCAGTAGTGGACCAACATCTGCCAACACACAGGTCAGGGGGGATGGGGGGGCCCGGACGCCCCTAGGCTGACGGTCACAGGCCGAGACTTGTCTTCAACTGGGAGTGATTCCAGCTGCTCCCCAGGAGACCGCGCAAGGGCCCTGGGCCCAGCGCTGGGCCGGGAGGGACCTGGGACCTCCCTCCACTCCCTCCACTGCGGCTCCCTGGCTGGGGCTCCTGCTCCAGCCCCTCCCCCCTCTGGCCTCAGTTCCTTTCTGGGGCCGAGGATGCCCGGGACGGTGCCTGGGACGGTGCCTGGTGCCCATAGGTCAGTGGAGGATGGATCTCTTCGGTCTCCGTTGCCAGGACCGGCCCGAGATGGCCGAGGAACCCTGGGGCCCCGCCCAGCTGCTCGGTCAGAGCCCCACAGCGGGGAAGAGGCCCCTGCGGCCGGGAAGTGGCTCCGCCTCCCCTCGTCGTGTGACCTCGGGACGGACACGCGACCTTCCTGAGCGCCTCGCGGCCTTGTCTGTGAAACGGGCTGAGATGTCTGTCCACCCAGCCTATGGAGGTCAGAGAAGATGAGCTCGTGCCCCACGGCTTGTTCCTTATATTATTAACCCTACACAACCGGGAGAGTGTGGAGAACAGCGGGGAGCCCGGCTGGTGGCGGGGAGGAGCACCTTCTGATGAAAACCTGTTGGTTGTCAAACTACCTATTTTCCAGAAATACTGAGGGGCAAAAAGCAGGAAAGGTGGGTCTGTTGTCCGCCTTTTCCTGAGCGTACGCCTCGCCTCCACACAGCGGGTCATCTGGCCGAGCCTAGGGCAGCAGGAGGAAGCCCGGCGGCTGGCTGAGGCTGGGAAACCTGGCTTTGCAGCTTCTGGGCTGTGTGACTTCGAACAAGTCACTTAACCTCTCTGAGCTGCGGTGTCCTTTCCTGAGAAACGGAGATGATAACGGTGCCTTCTCACAGAGCCTGACCCAGGGGATCACGGCGGGCCCAGCAGGGTTGGCGCTGCCCCGGCGGGCGCCAGTCTAACGCCACACCCGCTCAGGGGGCGCTTCAGGCTGTGGGTTGGAGACCTGGACTGTAAGACTCGGGACATGTGTCTCAACGGCCCTGAGGCTGCGGGGAGGGTTCAGGGGCACAGAGTCTGACACGGGGCCCTGGATCATGGCCGAGGCTCTCACCCCTTCGAGGCTGGACGCCAGGGCCAGGCCTACCTCGGGGCTGGGCGCGACGACGCAGGTGAACCCCAGGTAGAAGTTCCTGGTGGAGAACTGGAAGCTGGCGTTGAAGGCGTTCAGCTCGAGCACGCTGGCCGAGGTGCTCGGGGGGCAGATGTCCACCGTCCCGGTGAAGGGCGACACGGTGATGGTGCTGGGACAGTCCGAGAAGGGCAGGTTGTTGCTCAGAGCCCCGTCGAAGTAGCGCTGCAATTGGGGCAGGAGTGCTGCCCTCAGGACGCCTGCCCTCGGGCCACACCGCGAGGAACACCCGGCCAGCGACGGGCCGCAGCCGGTGACCCTGTGGCTGCCCCAGTCACTAGGTCTGTCGAGCTCAGGGTACTTTAGAGTACCCTCTCTGAGCAGCCCAGGAGCAGGGGCGAGGCTGGCACACAGTAGGTGCTGAAGGTGTGCTGGGCCCTCCACCCACACCTCTCCCCAGCAGGTGCCTGGGGCTGAAAGCACAGGGCAGGGCCTTGGCCACTTACCTCCCCTCTGAATTCGGGGGGGATCACCCCACAGTAGAAAGGGATGTAGAGAGTGCAGATCAAGGCCTGGGAAGACAAGAGTCCACGGAAACAGTTGTTCACGCTCCTGCTCAGAACTGCTCCGAGCACCGTCTAACCCCAGGAGAGCCCGCCATGTGGGTGTTGTCGGTCCTGGGTCCCAGGAGAGAGCTGAGGCGCAGGGGCCATTGTCCCAGCCACATTCTCAGGGTTAAGGGTTTTGAACGCAGGCCCGTCTCAAGTTCTGCCCTTTTCCTGCTGAGCAGACCCTTGCGGACTGGGGTTGCTGCCGGAGCTCTTCCCGGGGACAGACAGGCACCGGGTCCCCCTCCTCCTTCTCCGCTCCGCCAGGAACGCTCGGCCGGGAGTCCAGGGATGTCGCCCAACGTGCGTTCCTTGGACACTATTCTAACCAGATGCACCTCCAACGAGAAACCTTGACTTCTCCACCCACCTGGAAAGCATGGCCTATCTTCCCAGAGAGGCTCTGACAAGTCCTGCGTAAAAGAGACCCTACCGTGGACTCTGATGCTAGTGGCATTAGTGGCATCAGGGCTGGACAATCCGCCGCTGTGCAGTGTGGGGGCGCTGTCCTGCGCATTGAAGGATGTGTAGCAGGACCTCTCCCCCAGATGCGAGCAGTGTATACACGCACACACACGCACAGAGGCGCACACACACTCTCATCGTGTGACACCCAAAATGTCTCCAGCGCTGCCCACTGGCCAGAAGGGGAAAAGCAAACTCCTGCAGCAGAGAGCCTTGCCCCGCAGAACCCTGGGAGAATCTCTCCCGAGCTCTCTCGGGGATGTAGAACCTATCCCGGCTCTGAGCAACGGAGACACAGGTGAGCTCCACATTCCCACAGAGTAACAATCAGAGTGGCAGCAGCTAATGTTTACTGAGCCCCTACTATGTGCCACACAGGCAGAGAAGGTGGGATGCACTTTGGGTCCCCTGTGACCCCCTGGGGAAGCTGTGGACACAGCCCGCAGCCAGGGACTGGCCCCTCCCTGCACAAAGAATTCAGGTCAGCACAGACTCAGACACAGGCCCGTTCTGGGACTGGGGGCACCCGGGCGAAGCAGGGGCCCCAGGCTGCGTGGAAGGTGCAGACCCCGCTGGGGAGGGGGTCAGAGCGGCGATGCGGGAAGCACGGGTCTCCTGGCTGGCCTCCCCGGGTAGGACCTGTGCCCCTGCCTGAGCGTCCGCCTCCTGCCCCGCCCGGCCGTCACCCACTCCTGTTTCTTTCAGTCCTGGATTGTTTCTTCGTTCGGGCGGATGTGGTCCTTCCTTGCACCCCACACACGTTAGATTAGAAGCCCCAGGAGTCAGGCGACATGTCGGTCTGTCCTTCCCTGTTACAGTCACGGTGATGACACAGAACAGACCCTCAGGAAATGTTTGCCCACTGTGTCCGGAAATGCGTGGAGGACCGGGTGGGGCAGGGCTGGGCAGGCACCTCTCTGGGGAGCAGCCTGTTTGGGGGGCTCTGATTTAAAAAAAAAAAAAATGGGCCTTAGCTGGTTTGACTCAGTGGATAGAGCGACAGCCTGCGGACTGAAGGGTCCCAGGTTCGATTCCGGTCAAGGGCACATGCCCTGGTTGCAGGCTCGATCCCCTACAGGATCGGCGTGCAGGAGGCAGCCGATCAATGATTCTCTCTCATCACTGATATTTCTATCTCTCCCACTCGCTTCCTCTTTGAAATCAATTTTAAAAAACAACAGACTTTTGCCCCCTCCCCAGCCAAGCTGGGGGCCCCCCACCTCACCTGTCCATCCTCACCTGGCCACCGCCCCTCTGTTTTGTAAACAAGCTGAGGGCTGCGAGCTCACTGCCCCCACCCGCGACGCCTCCCTCACCCTGCAGATGCGCCTGCCCCCGGGGAGTGCCCGAAAGTCGCTCTGGTAGGAGCTGGCGTCCCCCCACCTGCCACAGGCCCGGAGGCCCCCAGCCCACGCACCTGGATGACCTCCTCGCGGCTGGCGAAGTCCGTGATGATGACGTTGCGGCCGTCGGGCCAGCGGGTCAGGGAGATGCCCAGCTGCTGGGAGGCCCGGACGTGGATGTCACGGGGCAGGTGGGCCCGCAGCTGCTGCTGGATGTGCTCGATGGGCGCGAAGGCGGGGTGGAACACGCCCAGGCTCAGCTGCTCCACCTGCTTGGCCAGATCCAGCAGCCGGTCGCAGCAGAACTCTGCGGGGGAGGGGGGGGGGGCTCCTGAGCCACCAGGCGCCCTGCCCTGCGGGCTGGGAGGCTGGCCTTCCCTCCTGGGGGCCAGGGATTCCTGTGCCCCACCCTGCGTTCATATGCTCTCTCCCACCTTTTGCCCCCAGGTGACCCTCAGAGCATCTTCCTGGCTCCGAGCGTGGCACCCCTCTTCTGTGAAAAGGGGGGAGCCCTAGCCCCAGTGCTCAGGTTCTCAGATGCATTACACGGCACTGACCGCTGGGCAGGACGCACGGGCCCTGGGACACCCCTCCCTCCGCCCCCGCCCCCTCTGGTCCATCCAAATCAGCGTTCGAGGAGGCTGAGAGATCCGGGCTCCCCCCCCCCCCCCCCGCCCGCCTGGGCCCCGACGCACCGACGGGCTGTCCCATGAGGATGCAGATGGCGTTGAGCGCGCCGACCGAGGAGCCGTAGATGCGGCGGGCGCCCTGGAGGAGGCGCGGGGCGCGCTCCCGCAGGCAGTGGGCCACGCCCACGTGGTAGAGGCCGAGGAAGGCCGCGCCGCTGAAGGACAGGCTCCAGTCGCCCTCCTCCTCGAAGCAGCTCATGGCGGTGGGGCCGGGACCAGGGCACGTCCGAATAGGGCGGGGACGGGGGCGCTGGTGGCGGGCGCTGCGGGATGGGGCGCAGGACGTGGGGCGCAGGTCTGGCGTGGCGCGGGGCAGGGCAGCCCAGATGTGGAGCTCAGCGGGAGAGCCGGCCCCGCCCCTGGTGCCCGGCTGGCCCCTGGGCTGTGTCACCCATCGCCCCAGCCAATGAAGCCCCGGGCTGCGACCACCCCCTCTCCTCCAGGTGCGCACCAGGTGTGTCCCAGAAGCGCCGCCCCCACAGCCTGCCCTGCATCGGGGTCACGGGGTACACGGCCCCAGGTACCCCGGGACGGGGCCCGGGAAAACGGGACCAACTCGCCGCCCGACCTCTGCCCCCAAACACTGCCCGGCCCGGGGCGGCCGAGGGCGGCGCAGAAGGCTCCACCCCGTGCCACGCGCTCTCCTCGGAGTCGCCTTCGCAACGCCGTGTGACTAGGGACCTCCGTGCCCGCGTCCGGCTGGTTGGCACCAACTTGCCCGCATCCTGGCACTGGGGGCAGCTCGCGGCATGAAGTACTCGAGAGAAATTCCCTGTGTGTTCCCAAGGGTGACGGGGCGGGCCCAGGGGAGGGGCCCAGGCTGCGGGGTAGGGGGTCTGACGGACTCCCTCCCGCCAGCCCGGTGGATGAGCACCCGCCACGGGCAGTCCGCGGGATGGCGGAGGGCCGAGCCTTGGTGCTGACGGGCCAAAGACCGGTGAGGGTTAGTGCTTGAGACCTCTCATGTGTTTCTCTAAATAAATATGAACTGCCTGGAAGAGGGCTTGGGAGGCCACCGCTCCATATATGAGAGTCCGTCTGTGGGGAGTGGAAGGCGGGGGGCACGGAGCTGGGGAGGAAAGGAGAACGAACGAAATAGCAAAGCAAAACGCAGGTCATGCACCCCAGGAGCTCAAGGGAAGGAGAGGGGACAGGGCTGGGACGCGGGGAGCAGAGCTGGACCTCAACCCCTGCCAGCCGGACTCGAACCCCTGCTCAGGCTGCCCTGTACCAGCCCCAGACGGAGCGGAGGCAGGCAGGAGGGCAGACCTCCAGGACCCACACAGCTCCCTGCAGGGTGCACAGCGCCGGGAGGCCTCTCTCCCGGGAGGGGGAGGCGGGCTGGAGCGCTGGAGCGGCTGTGGGGGAGGGGAGCAGGGGCCTCCCTGGCGCTGGGTAAGCATGTCTCCCGGGGCATTGTGTTGTAGCTTTGCAACAGTCCTGTGACATAAACCGCACTGCCAAGCCACTCTGCAGATGAAGAAACTGAGACAAAACCCGGGCCCCGAGAGAGCTCTGCCAGTAAGAGGCTGAGCGGGGTGGGGCAGGACGCGGAGATGGGGGAGCCCAAGTTCAGGCCAGAGGCGCCCACAGGGACTGGGCCGCAGGCCGTGGGCTCCTGCCTTAGGGAGGGAGGCCACTCTGCAGGAGTCAGGACCACAGGGCTTCTCCCAGGGCCTGAGTGTGGGAGGCGGGAGGCAGGGACCCGGCAGACGCGGTGACTGGGCCCCAGGACACAGTGAGTGGGTCAGAGTGGTGGCCCAGGCTGGTGGGAGGAGGGGCACATGGGGAGTGGGTGCCCCTGGGACTTCCAGGGGAGAGGAAGGTGAGCTGTGGGAAGACAGGGAGCTGCAGGTGGCACTGGGCAGGTGAGTTGGCATTCTGGGTCACAGACTCCCCGGGAGAGTGTGTGCTTTAAAAAAAAAAAAAAGTCTTCAATCTGGACGCATGCTCAGTGGTCAGAACGCCAGCCAACGCACCGAAGGGTCTCAGGTTCAATTCCAGGTCAGGGGCACATACCTGGGTTGCAGTTGGCTCCCTGCCCCGGTTCGGGGTGCTATCAGGGTGCGTGCTGGAGGCAGCCAGTCGATGTGTCTCTCTCACATCGATGTTTCTCTTTCTCCCTTCCTCCCTCCCTCCCTCTCTCTGAAAAGCAGTGGAAAGGGTATCTTCAGGAGAGGCTAGAAATAAAAGGTCCTAGAATGAGGTGGAACTCCATGAACTGTTCCGGTGTGTTTGCCAGATTTACAGTTAAGTGACAAATGCAAAGTGCAGAACAGCGTATGTCGGACACTGCCTTTTGCAGAAGAAATAAGAGGAAAAAAGAAAATATTGATGCATCTCCTTTTATTCCCTTTTCTTTTTGAGAAAGAGAGAGAGAAGCACGGATAGGACATTGGTATTTACAAGGGGTGGGTGGGGAAGAGCGAAGAATGGAGAGCAATACCACTTTGAGTTTATCTTTTTATATAAATTTGATTCTGGAACCACTCTAGTCTATTATACACTAAAAAAATTTTATCAGCCCTAACTGGTTTGGCTCAGTGGATAGAGCATCGGCCTGCGGACTCAAGGGTCCCAGGTTCGATTCCAGTCAAGGGCATGTACCTTGGTTGCGGGCACATCCCCAGTGGGGAGTGTGCAGGAGGCAGCTGATCAATGTTTCTATCGCATCGATGTTTCTAACTCTCTATCCCTTCTCCTTCCTCTCTGTAAAAATTCAATAAAATATATATTTTTAAAATTTATATATTAGAGGGAAAAAACTGAAAATGAAATACAAGCAGAAACAAATGAACTGTATTCCCAATGAATCATGGAACCACACCAAATAGGGGCTTTTGAACACAGGACTTAGGCTATACTGGGTGGGGCCAAGGTAGGTTTACAGTTGTTCAGATGGAAAATAATACAATCATCCTATATAATAAAAGGGTAATAAGCAAATCGACCAAATGATGGAATGATGGGTCGCCATGATGCGCACTGACCACCAGGGGGCAGATGCTCAATGCAGGAGCTGCCCCCTGGTGGTCAGTGTACTCCCACAGGGGGAGCACTGCTCAGCCATAAGCCGGGCTGATGGTTGGCGAGCACAGCGGCCTGCCTCTGCGGCAGCACTAAGGATGTCCGACTGGCGGCTTAGGCCCGCTCCCCTAAGCGCCAGTTGGACATCCCCTGAGGGCTCCCGGACTGCGAAAGGGCACAGGCTAGGTTGAGGGGACCTCCCCACCCACCCCACCGGTGAATGAATGTCGTGCATTGGGCCTCTAGTTCATAAATAATAAGGCAAGAATAAACTGTTCGGTGTACTCACAACTATAAACCTCCTCAGCCCATCCTGTATATCCTCAGTCTATAAACAAAAGGACGGCAAATATTAACCTCTACTTTTTGTGGTGGCATAGGATAGCAGCCCGACCATCCTTTTTGTGATTTGTAGGAATGAGCCATAGGAAATATACTGACGATAACTGAAGTTAGGGTCTCACCATCAGAGAAACACGTTATGAATGTGGAAAGACAGGAGGCTAGAATGAACCCTGAATTGGAAGAGATCAGCCTGAACTCGCGGGTGTAGATAAAGAGAGAAACAGATGTAGCTGTGTGTTGATTATTCTTACATGGTTTTATTTAGAAGCTCTGTCCTCTGAAGGGCCTAGAAGCCCAAAAGGAATGAGCACACCCAGCAGCAAGACCTTGGTTTCTAAACACCATTCCCCGCAAACAGGGGAAAACTCTGGGGGAATGACTGATTGCAGGGCCGAGCAGGACAAGCACAAGGTGAGCCTGGAACATCGGACGGCAAAAAGCAAGTATTGAAGGAAAGACGGAGACTTGTCCAAAGGATTCAGGAGCCAGCTTGGCTAAATCTGGGACAGAGTGAACACCCACACAAATCATTTTAAGAACAGAATGTTCATGGAATAAGATAAGAGTCGATGAGGCCATAAATGAGATAAAGGAATAAATAAATGGAGGAGAGGCCAAAGCTCTCCCTTATGTTAAGTGCTAAGTGATCACTGTAGAGAATGGACAATCCCTTTGCAAGATTCTCAGTAAAAACTGATTTACCCAATAATCATCAATAGAGGCCAAATCTGGTGGGAACCAGGAACAGTTTATAGTTTCAGAGTGTCGCCCTCACATTGACTATTAATTACAAAAGTGAAAAATAGGTTACAGTGGGTTAACCTTGCAAATACAGCCATAACCAAGTACCCAAGTCATATTGTCCCCAATAATCACATGCCTCCAGATATGATCCCCTAAGGAGGACATGCACGTGAAAGACCAAATGACCCTCCAAAGATGTCCCCATCCTAACGCTCAGAATCTGGGAATACGTTATCTCACGTGTCAAAGATCTTTGCAGATGTGATTAAATCAAGGATCTTTTTAAAAAATGAATGTATTGGGATGACACTGGTTAACAAAATTATACAGGTTCAGGTGCACAATTCTACAGCACATCATCTGTACACGGTACTGTGTGTTCACCACCCCAAGTCAGGCCTCCATCCATCACCACTTATCTCCTCAATACTCTCCTCCAGGTCACCCCTGCCCTGGCGATCACTGCACTGTTGTTTGTGTTAAAGATCTTAAAACAGGGAGGTTATTCTGGCTTATCTGGGTGTTCCCCATGTAATTGTACTTCTACGTTATAAGAAGAGAGGGAGGCAAAAGAATCAGAGAGAGATTTAAAGATCCCGCAGAGCTGACTTTGAAGATGAGGAAGGGGCCACGAGCCAAGGACTGTGGGCGCCTCTAAAAGGCAGGGAGATGGGTTCTCCCTAAGGGCTCCAGAAGGAAGGTGGCCCTGCGGACACTGTGACTGTAACCCAGTGAGACCCACTGCAGACTGCGACCGCCCACACTGCGACCCAGGAAACCTGTGATCGTTTGTTCCAACGGCAACAGGAAACCAATGCACATCACTTTGGTAGAATTCTTGACAAAGATGCATAACTTGAGTGAAATGATGAGGAAACATGATTCAAGGGATTAAATTAGACTAAGGGGCATTCTAATTAATAATTTGCCTGTACTCTTGAAAAAAAGATCATGAAAGACAAAGGCAGTTTGAAGGAGACTAAAGAGATATGACAACTAAGAATGTGTGTGGCCCTGGCCTTGAACCTGGCTTGAAGGGACGATGGGCAAAATGGAAATGTGAGCTGCAAATTGAACCATGGCCCTGAGCTGATGACCCAGTGACTGATTTTGAAAATTGCACTGTGATTACATCATAAAAGTCCTGGTTCTTTTAAGGCACTATCTCAGTAGGGGCACAGGGCATGGTGTTGTAACCTAGCCTCCAGGAGTCCCCAGATGAAGTCTCCTTCTCTGCCTCTGTCTCTGTCTGTCTATCACCTAGCTGCCCATCTAGCTACTCACCTAGCTACCCACCTAGCTACTCACCTAGCTACCCACCTAGCTACCCACCTAGCTACCCACCTAGCTACTCA